CGGTCCAGGGGCCACAGAGGAACAGCCACTGCCAAGCGACAGAACAGCGCTACAAGCAGGGAGCAGCATTAAACCGGTTAACCCTGTAAAACAAGCAGAGCCGACAGCATCTGAAAAACAGTGGCAGAAAGGTCCTTGCCAGCGTGTTTTCACAGGTTTCCACGAGCCGCCCGGGACACTCACTGTGTGATCGTGTTCTGCACGCTCTTCTCGTTCAGGGTCATTCCAGGGGGAGGATCATTCTGCAGCGCTAATAGCTCCTTCTGCAGCCTTTTCTGTGAGAGAAAAAAAGTCAGGAAAGATGCTGTTTAGTTCATGTGGGACATGTGGAATTAACAGAACAGGGGATGGTTAAGTGATCAGGCGGCACCTGTCAGTCCACATTAACTGGAACAGAACCTAAGAAAAACAGAACACCACAGAAACAGCCCAGTTTGTAAACAAACACTCCTGTACTCCATCAAATTAAACATCTTCACCTGCCTAAACTTGATTTATGGGCACAAGGCTATTGCTAAAATGTACTTTGACCCACAATAACACGCAGTTAAATTTTACCCCACCCAAACAAGAAGTGAAACAGCCTAAGACGGAAACTAAAGAAAAATTGCTCATGAAACAGGACTTTGGTAAATACCGCCAAGCAGCTTATAAGAGCTGATAAACTAATTTGTGACCCATAAAACAGCAAGGCTACAGTTGTGAACCACTGGAAAGAAAAGGTTTTAATTAGAAGCATGAAAATAATCTGTACAAGTGTGAGAAAGCAAACACAGGGGGTCTCGTTTCAACTGGGAAGAGAATAAAAAAGCAAGAAAGGTCACACAGCTATTCATGTTTTTATCCCCTTTTAGCTGGAAATCTCAGGCTACACCTCCAAGGTCCGCACCTGACTCTCATTAATCTTATTTAGCACACAGATAAACTGTCTTATTATTACCATCTATAGCAAAGCATCAGAGATACAAAACGGACTTCCCCAGAACGGTGTGGTGGAACAGGCGTGACCTGTCTGTGATCGTGAAATTTTAACATTAAGTAAACCCCAGTGTTTGGACACAATGCCCCTGCAAAAACCACAACAGTTTGCACTGCATACAGATGTTAATGCAGATGTTAACAGAGCAGTTCCACCTCTGAGGAGACTGTGGGGAACCTGGGTTGCCCCTGATGAATGTGAACCTCATCACTCATTTTAATACACCAGATTGCTGAGCTTTATTAAACGGAGCGATTGGGACAAGCAAACACTCAAGTTATACGAGTATTAAAAACGAGTGCAATGACAGCAACCTGAATCAGCTTGAATCATAACCCAGCCCAGCAGCTGCACATCACACAGGAGCCTCTCCCCCGAAAACGGTGTCAAGCTGAACCGCGGACACCATCCGCTGCCCAGTGGCCCAGAATCCGTACGGACCCAGACAGACAGACAGCCTCCTCTTAAGTGCATGTCACGGCCCCTAAGGAAGGAGAATCGCGGGCTTGATTCAGGCAAGTTAAAATGCCACCCAGAAAGATGCCGTTAAGGGTCACTGGGCTTCGACCGTATTTCAGGATGTGAATAATGAGGCGTCGCTAAATAAAAAGAAGAAATGACCTTAAATGCATGAACAATATCTGTACTGTAGATGGTTCCGGTTTCATTTTAACACAACTGATACAAAGTGTAAAGCAGGCGGACTTGTAAAAAAGCACCGCAGGTGACCTGGACGGGTTGTTTACAAGGCAGACCATTTCTGACGGGGAAGAGCACCTGTCATGGTCTGGTACGTGCGTAGCAATAACACCCAGCCTCCAAGTGCATCCAAACACAGCGGGACTGGCAAATGGCCTTTCCGTAAGACGCGATTTAATCCCCCCGCCGACCCGGACCGGCCGCCTGCTCCCTCCATCCGCCACTCGGGAGCCGCAGCAGCCGCCCGTCCTGCCAGACAACAGCCGAACAAAGGTGGCTGCACCTCCTTGCAGGGTCGGCGGACTATTCAGGGGGTGATCCCGGCTCGGTTCGGTCGGGCACGCCATCGCTCGGCTAAGCCCGTGTCGCTTCCGGCCGATCAGCTGTCCCTCTCCGGATCATCCCCCTGTGTTGGTCGCCTTCCGCGGGACCTCCTCGACCGCCGGCGTGTAGCACCACCCCACGGACACGGGGCTTCCCTCCCGCAGTGGGATTCCACAAGCAGGCCCGCAGTGACCAGTCACGGCCGCGTACGGAAAGCATGGCGGAGCGCTTTCGGGTTCGCTTCGACACTCACCTGCATGGACGCCATGATGGAAACCCCCCTGCGGCAGGCTGGCTAGCGGAACGCAGACTGAAGCTGCGTCACTGTGTCATGTGGTCGTCACGTCATACGTACGGGGGACCGACTGGCCCAAGCAGGAATGACCGTTGTTGTTTACGCTTAATGCGCCCCATGTGGCGTTCGGAGGTACTGAAGCGCCAGCGCAGTACATTGAGAGAAAACTTCGCCGATTAATTATCAGAATGGTCATTGTACAGTTTAACTTTTAAGGAGATTCCAAGATTAGAGTCTACAGTATGGCAGATAGTAAGGCAACTGTTACACTATGGAGGATTCTCTTAATTAATGATTGACTGATTATTAAGAAAAACATCTACAATAGTATTATGAGGAGTGTTTGTATCACATATATTATTTAATGACCTCCTGTACTGAACAAAATTATAAATGCAACGTTTGGTTTTGCTCCCATTTTGCAGCAGTTTGAGAAAAAAAAATCTAGGAAAACAAAGAGCATGTATTTCAAATTTTGCCAAATAAGATTTTTTAATTGTATTTCTAATTTATGTACAGGTGCATATCAAGTTGATATCAGCAAGTTGATGAACGTTCCTTATTATGGGAACAATAAATGGGCACAATAAAAGAAACACAATGCCCCAGATGCCAGAAGTTTTGCAGGACCATGCCATTGGCATGCTTGGTGCAGTGATATGCACTAGTGATGTTCCCATGAATGAATCATGAGCCTCCATTTCTCTACCATAAGAGGCCTCTGCTTTTGGCAGTGTGTCCAGCTGGTTTTACAATGACAGACCATGTGGCTGTATACTCACCAGACGTGTGAGCATTTTTGGGATGTTCGAGATCAGTGCATAGGACAGCATGTTCCCACCAATATCAGACATTTTCACGAAGAAGTTGACCAGTGGGACAGCATTCCACAGACCACAGTCAAACCCTAAGGAGATGTGTCAGACCACTACCAACAAATGGTGGTCACGACTCAAAATGTGGGAATTCATTTACAAGACCCATCTTGTTTTTCAGGATATCAGTGATCAAGACAGCTTGATGATTCCCTTTCCGAAGCTTGAATTTCCATTTATTATTTTCTTTCCAATAATACATTTGAAATGGTTGGATGTTCCTTTTATATTTGTGTTCGGTATAGATATTACAGTGCTTAATGAAGTTAAACAGCTGGATAGCTACTTTTCCGCATGACCATGCATGGTAAACTGTCATTCACATCATCTCTGAAGATATGTTTCATATATATCCAAGCACATTTCTTTGGAATAAACCGCAGAACTGAAGTCTGCCTGTAATTTAAATGAGTTCCACAAAATGTATCCTCCTACTTGCCAAATAAAACCTATTAGTTTTATATATTGATTCATATCCCTGCTATTATTTCACAATTATTTTCTCTTTTTACTGGACCATTTTGTTTCTCACCATAAAAGTCATGGAGACAGCCTTTGCCAAAACAAGTTCTCAAAACCATTGTGTAATAGCCATTCATTGTTTAATAGTCACTCATTTCTAAGGAAGTGGTTTGAATTAAGATAAAACTACATTTGAATATATATGATTCATAGGTATTATCTTCAGCATCGGTAAAAGCTTGTTCCAATTCAAATTTATTTTTGTAAACAATTGGACTGTTTTCACACTTCACACTTATAAAAACAGAATTTGTAAGTTGTTTTTCCCCAAATCTGACTCATAACTCCTTTTTTTCCTTTATGATTGCAACTAGAAGTGACAAGTTATTGAACATAATGGAGCCCTGAATGTTTAAAACAATTCCTACTCCAGTGCTAACTGAAAGACAACAGAACCAGATTTTCCAGAGAGAAGGAATTGCTGCTTTCAAAACAGAAGTGGCATGTTTAGATGCCGGGCTACAGTACATCCCACTCCTGAACAGGTCTGACCACTTTCAAAGCACCGTTTAACGTGAACGCACTGCATGCAAAATCCATGGATCTTTCTGGGAAAGACAAAGACAGTGTGTTACACTCAGCAGAGAGTGAATTAAGAGTAAAGACAGCTTTCACACATCTCGCCTTGTAAGAGCAGCAGTAAACACATTCAGATTAAATTAGCTGCTCTCATGTTTCAAAAGGGGTGGAGTAAAAAACACACTGTGTCATTCTGCTAAAAATAACACCCTGTCACTGTCACTGTGTGTGGCTACCGAATGAAGAAGCCTGCATCAAACACAGTCAAAGAGTATATTTATATCAGTTTCTCAGCAAGACCCGTAAACCCCGATCCCATGTTAACATAGGAGCAGGGGTTCAACTGTTATACCACCCAAGAAAAAATAAGCTATACTGATAGAATGGATGAAGTAATTGATTGATTGATTAATATCCTTCCTTCCAGCCACTATCCACCCATCCATCCATCCATCACCACATGTCTAATACAGCATTTTAGTGCAAGTTATTTATACTTTTGAATTTATATTTGTTTTGCTGCCAAGCAGTAAAGGGTCTGAGGATTCGCAAGAAGGTCTGACAAGTCAGTGAATGTGAACAGAATGGCACCCTGACTGCTAATGCTTGTGTAGCATTCTGAGTGTTTCATCTCATCCTAATCAATTCCGTTAATAACGCTTATGAATTCAAAAAGTCACCCCGATTTCAAACCACTTCCCGTGATACATTCAATGTCTCAACGTCTGCTTTTATGGTGACTGTGACTCTTGACATCTGCTGACAAAAGCACAAAGGATAATGCTGGTAAGTTTTTTTTCTTTAATCTATCCAGGGCCAGCCACCATTTACTTACTGTATAGAGTGAATACTGCAGATAATATACAGAAATGAGCAAAGCAAACCATCTGCTATCATTGTTTAAGTCAGACATACAGTGCTCAGAATCTTGGGACGCTTGCTAAACTCTGTAAAAATTTTGCATATTTATTGGTTTCAAAACAGAAATCCATTGACAAACAACGCTTAACATATCCACACATATCATCTGCAAGGACATTTTCTTTTTATCATCCATCGTAATTTTTGTTCTTGCCATTTTGCTATTAATTACAATTGTAGTCACTTGCTATTAAACACAAATGCTTGGCATTCTATGTTATTGCAAAGGTGTTACTAATTAAAAAGCACCACAGGAGACTGCTTGTTTAACAATTTTTAATTTAGAACATCTTTTTAGGGCTATATTTTTGGTTTCAATCAATTACTTCTTGAAATTAATGTTGAACTTAAAACTACTGGTTGTTTCTACTGTGATATATATTGCAAACAAATTAATAAAGCAATGATTTTTGTTATAAAACCAACAAACTTGCAATATTTTACTGAGCTAAGTCCCAAAACTTTGTGAGCACTGTATAAGTCTATGGACAACTGTCACAAGCACTTATTATAAGTAATGTATCACAAGTAATTTTGTAATTACTCCTTTCATTGGATTCTTTACCCATATCCTTTTAATAAGTACGAAGACAGTTAAACACTCGTAATGTGCGATTTGGCTGACATGTACATTGCTTTGGACAAAAGCGTTTGCTAAAAGAAAATGCAAAATAATTCTACCAGGCCACCACTTTCCTTAGGTAGCATTCTTCATATGAATCTATGCCCTGAAATTGTAATAGGCAGTCAGATGGCAACTTTTTACATTTACAAGATTATTTAATCCACAGTTGAGCATGTATTTCTTTTTGTTCTGATCACGCATATCCTGACTTTTAATGTGAAACCTGGCACCAGTCTAACAGCATGGGCAGATCTCAGGACAAAACAGCCGGACCCATCCATGCATTTATTACATGCCACCCACACTGAGCAAGCAGCGTCTGAGGTTTTACAACAGACATTCAAAAAGCACAACCCTAAAATCAAACTTCTAAAGGAAAAACAAAAGCTCTGCCAAGCATCACAATCTTAAGTTTCCTGAAATACTCACCCTTCCTTATTCTCCTAAATATTCTTTCAGATTTAATCAAGATAAACGGATGTCCAGCTGCATCTCCAGGAAACTTCTTGCAAATGTTCTGCAGCTATGTTCTCTCAATCCACACTTCATGTTACATTTCGAATCAAACCCATTGATGTAAAAGACCAAAAATGAACAATACAACAGCGAGAGTACTTGAAGGAGCATGACATCATTGCAGTTTACCAGTGTCCCAGAAAATCCTGCCAAATCTTAAGGGGGCGAGAAGCCAGAAAACAAGAGGAGAAACAGTGTGAAGAACATACCCCACTTTCTGCAAATGCAAAGCAGGCAGACTCAGGTTCGAGACACCTTGGAGGGTACAGGAGTTTACTAATACTTTAATGGACATCTGCATCAGCTGCAGAAGCAGCAGCCATCTCCTAAGGGGTAACAGAAAGCATCCCTGCAAGCTGAAGCCCTATGAAACCACAGAAAAGGCAAAAATGCAGTCACTTTCAACCGATGCATATATACACAATGACACATGCCTCCATGTTTAATTAGATAATGCATATTTATATACAGGACAAAATTAATGTCTGCATTAACAGATGTTCATAACCTTTAGATTATGCATCATTTTAACTGAAGTAAAAAGCTGGTCAAATGGCTGAAGTCATTATTTTATACAACATGGAACTGTAAAGTATTTAAAGTATGTAACTCATTCTAAAATGGGTGAAACATACTGATGTATTCAGTGAATAAATTAGTAAAACAAGGAACATAAAAGCAAAGAAATATCCTCCGATCAGAACTTTTCTCTTAACAATCTAAGAAATTTGCGGCCATGAGGAGCTCCAGTGCGATCTCGGGGGCGATGGGGAATTCCGGGATTTCTGTCGAGCTGTTGGTGTATCGGACCTTGTAGGTGAAGTACATGCACACTTTGGAGAGAACATGAGAAGGGATCTCCCTGAAGTTGACTTCGTTGGTTTCATTTTCCGCAAACTGACCTGAAAGGGAAGCGGCCAGCAACACTGAACACAGGGACCTACAGCAGTCCCTCGCACACGGCGATGCCAGTGCCTCTGTGCCATTTCCCACAAGGGACTATGGGCACCACAGCCACACGTTCTACCACTCCTTTCTATAGAATCAAAAATATTTGCCTTTAAACTTTAGAATCCAATACATCAGTGTCTTCACCATACCAAGATGTGCAAGTACAATGACCCATAAAACCTACATAAACACATTATGAACCCGATCTGGCTGAAATTCTCACAGACAAAAATGCCTTAAAGACAGGAGAAAAATGCATGCATAAAAATACACAGTCCCAGGCAAATGTCTGGACACACCTGCTTTTATTATTCTCTCTTTTTAAGCTATGATATTCACATTATGGTAAAAGGCTTAGAGAAAATTAAGTAATACATATCAAATATTGCAACCACCAAGAGAAGTATTCAGCAATTCAACAGGGTAAAGGTAGTCTGGGCAAAATGTAAGTGAACGAATATGAAGTCCATTTAAACTATGGCACCTTAAATCCGACAAGTTACCCCGATAAGCCAGTAAACCCGCTTCGTAGTACAGGCCATGGCTCTATAGGGTTTAGACGGGGGGGCACTCCATCTCTTTCCCTTTTCACAAGATAATACTTACTGCATAACTTCAATGAGCGCTTAGGGTTGTTATTTGGGTGAAAAACAAATGATTTTCAGTAGGCATGTCCCAACATTTGACTGGTACTGTACATTCATATTTTACCCAAGTTTCATAGCAATAATACTGCTGAACTGGTTAAGAAAAGCAGGTGCAGCTCTGAGATAGGCAAGCTTAGGGCACTTTCCCACACATCACATTGTTATGCCGACCTGATTGCAGTTGAAGTCGGAGTCTCTCCATTTGTCAGTGCATACGTGATTTTTTTATTTTTTTTTTTAACTGTTTTCTGAGTTTGTATCTTTTTTCAAGACTGCGGTTGTATTGTGTTTAGAGGCAGGCTGTTTGTATACGTGATCAACAATGAACATTTTTGCAAGTCCCACCCCAAACCACCAAAGTACCAAAAAAAGTACCTCAGTTGCTTTGGTACTTTGAGTACTGGAGTCACCGAAAAAGGGAACGCACTGAAAGTACAGTACCAGGCACAGTGGAAAAGCACCCTTAGAGCAAAGGGATTTTAAGGCGCCGCCTTCCCTGAATTTGACTGGCTAGCACCTATAGGACCGAATGTGTGTGTAACACTAAATGTTTTTCTTTTATGGCTCCCGCACAGTCGCAAAAGCTCACCTGGCCCACTCAGCATGGCTTTGATCGTGCCAGAGGTGAGGGCATGCTCACGCTTGACGATGAATTCATGTCCATCTGAAGAGATGAGTTTTACATACATAGCATCTGGCCCCTCACAGCCACCATAGATCTTTTCTTCTCCATCTACATAAAGTTTGCAAGAAAATGGATTAGAGGCAGTGCTGGAGCATGGTGCTCTTTCTCTGACTTTAACAACTACAAAAACAACACACATGGGAATATATTACAAATATCAATTATTAAAAAGTGAAAATGAATTGCCAATAGAAGTCCAGCGAAAAGTTCTCCATTCATAGCAGTAGTCAAGTAGCAACTTTCACTAACCCATTGCTTCTTGTGTGAGGGATGACCACTGTCTTCCTAAAAATATAAATGCAAATGATTAACCATGTCACCTACCAATTCAAGGAAAGGTTAGAACAGTATCTCTTGGAACTAAGTAAAAGGCTTTCCTTTTTAGGAGTCCTATAAGCAGGTGTAACATTCCTTTCCACCATCTTCCTTTCGCCAGAAGGTCTCATTAAGGGACTGAGTACAGGGCACTTCCCCCAAAGAGAACATAACACATACAAACCAGAACTTGGAGGCCAACCAGAATAACATTTTCCTGGCACCACATAAGACCATGAACTGTATACAATTATATACAGATCACCATGCAGCAACAACAGCAATATCCACCTGGGACCGGACATTCAGGCTGCACAATAGGACCAAACACCCAGGGTTTCTCTGTGCTTAATGGGTTCAGTATTTAGAGCATAAAACGCAGGCCTCAATGAATCTTAAGTAAATGTAAGAACAAAGCAACAACGCGGTGAACTAATACTTATGGCTGTACTTCTTATCCATTTTAGGTGCTAATTGTGTAACTTGATTTCAGTAATTATTAAATAGTGCGGTTTAATTTCCACAAACATCAAGTTACGGACCAGATGTCCAACCAACTGTCTTAACATATCACAGCAACAAGAAAGAGGAAAATCAGATTTAAAGGCGAAAAGTGGCCCGAAACGCATACAGACCAAGTTATGCGTAACGACTGCCTCCGCAACATGGGGTGCCGGGGTGCATCGACTAAAATGCTACCGGTAGCTAGCCTCAGCCTAATTATAAAACAGACATGCTTTGTACAAAGGTGGAAATGGGGACATCGGAAACACGACGAAAAGCACAGTCTGTCTTTCCAACGAAGCACGTACAATACAGAGTGCACTACACCGTATGTGACTTTAAAATTGGCCTGTAAAGTTACAGTAGTATATTATATTTAAATATCACTTTTTATATAAACACAGGCAGAAGTCTGGTGGCGAGGTTCTATCTTCGGGTGCAACCATGATTACGGTTAATCTGCTGGGAGACTAAAAAAACAACTTCAAATTTATACTATTCTAGAACCTACTGTTAAAATACAAAATAACAATAAACTCAATGAAATACGAGAAGTATAATTAGAGAACAGTTTAAAGAAAATTACCTCGCTACCAGAATTACCCAAAGTGACGGCTTCTTATCTGTCGGCCCGAGCTACCCGGAAGACCATCCGAGCGGTACGTCACTATTTACTTCCGTGTACAAAGACGTGAAAGGTTTGGTTCCCTGTTATTGCAAGATGCACGGTTCTTTTCTGTGCTTGTTTTCCATAACAAACTATCGATTCAAATATGATAAAGAATTAGCATTGGTTTAGTGATCATACGCATCCATCCAGATTATCGGCCTTCATAAGGTTAAAATAATGCTTCAAATACATTTTATTATTGTCCGTAATAGCTCAATCCATTTGACTTGTTTAGTGTCAATTTCACATATTCAATTAGCAAAATTGGCATCTATCTATCTATCTATCTATCTATCTATCTATCTATCTATCTATCCATCCATCCATCCATCCATCCATCCATCCATCCATCCATCCATCTACAGTATCTATCTATCTATCTATCTATCCATCCATCCATCCATCCATCCATCCATCCATCCATCCATCCATCCATCCATCTATCTATCTATCTATCTATCTATCTATCTATCTATTTATTTTGTTGTGTATCCTGTAAATTGTTTTATGTTCGGAACTAAAATTACATGATCTTTTTTTCCCTTAGAGCACAGCTTAGGGGCAGCCGTCTTCAACTCGCAGGCGCACTGGCGCACACTCGCGTCCAGCCTAGTCACTATAGTTGGTCTAATTTGGATCTTGTTCTATGTTGAGTGTACATTAATGGTTCATCGTGTCGTCATTGCAACTTGGTCTCTATTCAAGCTGAATTCCCTGCCTCATTTAATTAAAGAACGTATTGTTGTCATTCTAGCCATAATTACATATAACCTGACATCTAATGTTAAAAATTAAAGATTTATTTTGGTAATTAAAATAACAGTACAAATGATGCCACAAAAGTTTGATGTCTTAAGATGCATTCCTTACACAGATCAAATCAATATTTCCTTCTATCTTGAGTCTGAGAGCATTGATTCACGGACACTCATCCCACGTTTGACAATGCAGTGATAGTTTATAGCTTACGTTTATATTTATCTGGGAAAGTATTATGACTAACGGCCATGTGCTGCTATTCTAAAGGACTGAGGTGTGGGTGGGCAATGATGTCAGCAGAACATACAGTACCTCATGTGATGTCCACGCTTTTTGTGGTTTCATTAGCTGGTGAGAAGACTGTGTAAAAATAAATAAAAACAAGCTTCGTTAACTACAAGTTTAGTGATATGGGGCATTACAATTAAATCGGATGATTACACACAAAAAGAGAAACATTTAGTTGACGTAAAACAAAGGTGTTTTTCAATTGTCCTGCAGGAATGTGTAGTATGTGATTTACGTCGGCCACTGGTCTATGCAGCTGTAATGACAGGAATGGCGTTGTGGTGTTGACCCATAGCTACCACAGGAGGGCGCTATGAGCCAAGGAACTTGTGCTGGGTAATCTTCAACCCCTCGCAAAGTTCAGGCATATTTCAGAACAATGAGTTTGGCTTGGGTTTGTTTCATTTCAAGCAGAGTAAATGAGCAAAGAGCCTTTGACGATATTGTGATTTTCACCTCCACAAGGCAGCCAGGCATTTTGCAGAAATAGTAACTGTATTGTTATTGTTCTATTCATCTTCCGTTATCTGGAACAGTGTTGTGGAAAGCCTGGAGCTTGTCCAGTTCAGCACAGGGCACACAACTTTGGAACACCTCACTGGGCACACTCGCCCTCTATAACAATTTACAGACAGCCTTCTATCAGTTAGCCTACCTCCAGGTTTTTGGACAAAACCCACATGACATGGGTATAACATGCAAACTCCACGCAAATAGCAGAAGTTAAGCACTGAACCACCACACTGCCCATTTCAAAGTATGGCAGGTATATTAGCTACTGTGTAACTGCCATGTAAGGCACAATTGCCTTCATTACAGTCGTATGTGGTCATAAATGATGTGAGATGATAATACAGTTGATAAAACACCTCTGGTTCCCTAATGCTAAGTGCCATGTCTTAGAATTAAGCCTAATCTGATTTTGAATTGATATTCACTCATTAAGGTGTAGTAAAATTAAAAAGTGTTGATGATTAATGTCACGTTTCTTTGGCAGAAGTCCTTGCATCAGAGTGTCCCTGCTCTATCTCTGAGTAAGAGAACATTGACAAAAATTGTCCTTTGAGCAACTTTCTGGGAGATTTTGGCCAAACAACTCTACAGTACTAATCCTAGCCGATGTTCAGCATCAGTGCTGGCACCCCGATCCAAGGCAAAGTGAAATCGGCTTGTAAATCAGAGCCCCCTCAGAATTTGCCCCCCTAGATAGCCACCTATATCGCCTATAGGATTGACCTGCCCTGGACATCGTTGTTGGCCCCCATCAGCCTTGGCGGTGTCCCTAATCACGGAAGCTTCTGGCTAAGTGCGGACTTGAGCCGCCACTGATGAGATGGCTGCTAGCCTTTAGTGGCGGTCCCCCCCCCCCCCCCCCCCCCCTGGTCACACCCCTTTTGGTAATGGACAGGGGCAGGTGATCCCAGAGCACTGACCCCACCGAGTTATCAGTGTGTCTATAATGGCCTAGGGGGGGGGGGGGCTGGGAGTTGGGTTAATTAAGGAAGTCCCCCCCCCCAGGTGAAAGGTGAGGGAAGCAAACCTGCTGAGCCCATGCGGCAGCCAGCAGCTGCTGTGGCATGTTAAACAGGGGCCTGACAGCCTGGCATGACAGCCACCTCTGTCTGTGTTGCATCGGCTTGCTGGGGGGTGTGGGGGGGAGGTATGACATGGGCTTCTCCCTATTGGGTAGGGTGGCATCATACAGTGTTGGGTGGGGTGTTGTGTGAGGTACTATCGCATCGACCAGAAGCGGGACTCAGACCCTCAACACTGCAGGTGTTAGACAGCAATGCTGCACAGGGAGATACGAATAATATAAATGTGAAATAAGCATTTTCTTTTTAATTAATATCACCCTGGATATAACTTGTCATTTTACGATCACAATGGCTCATAAAATAACCTTAGTGCAAAAATAAAGTTTTTATGGGACTTCTATTATTTACTTTTTAATGGCTGCATTTATTTTAATTCATAGTGATTTCAATTATCATTTTTATATCAGCGTCCCCTGTAGGCCATGATTAAATGTCATGATTAGGTTTGATCAGCAAAGATTTTCTGTTCTGAGCAGTAAAGCTGCAGAAGAAAAGATACTCTGCTGAAGTACTGTGCTGATGTTATACAGGAACACGCCGTGACATGGGGTAGAATGTGACTGGGTGTGCATCCTATTTGCTGTGTGACCACGTTTTCAGTTTGACTATTACATCACTCCTCCATAAATGTCTAATATTATTGTTATTATATGTTTACAAGTCTGTGTCACAGGCTTATACACACATGGACTCACAGATGCACTGGCTCACAGACACATGGAATCACAGACTCACATGCTTTCAGACACATTAACTCACAGTCTCACAAACTGACACACACATGGAATCACAGACTCACATGTTCACATACTAATACACTCACAGGACCACAGACACATGGAATCACAGACTCACATGCTTTCAGACACATTAACTCACAGTCTCACAAACTCACAGACACGTGGAATCACAGGCTCAGAGACACATGGAATCACAGTTTCACATGTTCACATACTCATACACTCACAGGACCACAGGCTCACAGACACATGGAATCACAGACTCACATGCTTTCAGACACATTAACTCACAGTCTCACAAACTCACAGGCACATGGAATCTCAGGCTCACAGACATATACAATCACAGACTCACAGACTCACAGGCTCACAGACTCACATGCTCACAGACATATAAACCCAGAGTCTCACAGACACACAGGCTCATAGGCTTGCATGCTCCCGGACTCACAGGCTCAAAGACACATGGAATTATACACTAGCAGGCTTACGGACTCACATGCTCAAGACACAAACTCACAGGCTTGCATGTTCTCCGACTCACAGGCTCACAAGCACACAGTCTCACAGACATACAGACTCAGAAGCAGGCCTTTTATAAGACAGAACTGATGACTGGTGAAACATGACCCACACGTGTAGTCTGACACGGCTATGGCCTGTTTTTCTGTCAGTCTCTCTCTCTCTCTCGCTCTCTCTCACTCTGGTTGGTGCAATGTAGCTGCGTAGGAAACTCTGCCTTTTTTCTCATGACTCCTTTTTCAAATCCGTTTTTAGCCGGAATGTTATCCTGGCGGCAGCTTCTCGCCAGATCTGTGGGACGGAAACACAGTCGGAGGGGGCTGGAGTCGACTTCACAGACTCTTATAGCGACCCAAGGGATCTGTGTCTCATCTGTTCCAAGCACACGATCCTCAGAAAAGGCTGGAAATAAAAATGAAACTGTGAAAATGCGAATACGAATGGCTGGTGTAGAGTGATATTGCTGCACTCGTACCGTGATGCTCTCAGGCGTGACCTTTCAGCCAGGGACTGTGACGGTCATATAACTCTTTACACTGTACTCATTGTTCAGTTTATTTTTTACTTTTTATTTATAAACAGGTAGCAGGACAATCACCCAGCACACGGATAAAAAAATAGACATCTAATGTTAATTTGGCAGAAAAGACTTCTCCAGTTTGCCTTCCAATACGAAGCGCATAATGGCGGCAGCAAAGAAGTTCTACCATTAAAACTACCTATAAACTGCTGGTTTACTTTCAGATATTAAAAATAATCTATTTTTAATTTTAATATTAATAGGTAGTAGTTTAATATTAATAGTTTAATATTAATGTTAATTATCCCAGATCTCATTTGGTTACATCTGTACTACATATCAAGTATCAGTATGACTGTTTCATTGCCACTGTGCGCTGTTAATATTTATTGGTTCATTTATGTACTTTGTGTAAGTATGCCGTTAGTCTGACTCCTGTCCACTAACACAGGCGGCCACAGGAAATTAATCTTCATCTCTTCATCTGTCAGCTTTATCCTTTGGATATAAACATTAATCCCGTGGCCTCTCAGTAAAGCCAAAATCATGGCACTCTCCTTTCCCTGGATGGGGGGGGGTTTTTCTCCAATGTGAAATGGTCCTATGCTGTC